TCTTTTCTATCCACATTCTCTCTCCAATCCGCACTACCCCTACAGTCCTATTAACATCTATTCTTGGCCCTATCTATCCATATTTCCATCTTATTATATATATGCATGGATATATATATATCCATCTTTTATAAGTCTAACTAACAATACATTATCTATCAGTCTCTTATATGCATCTATCTACTGATCTATCTATAATCTGGCTATCTGCCTATCTATCAGTTTGTCCGTCTATCAGTTTTTGCTCCAGCCATCAGATTGTCTCTATATATGTATGCATGGAGTATATGTATATCCATCTTTTAATAAGTCTAACAAATACATTTATCTATCAGTCTCTCTTATCTTGTATCTATCTATCTACTGATCTATCTATAATCCGCCTATTTGCTTATCTATCAGTTTGTCCGTCTATCAGATTGTCTATTTCCCTCTACCTCGATCACCCTCTATATAGATTATGTTTCCGTCATCTGTTCTGCCTGTGACACTTTGATAAATTGAACAGACAGTACTTTATCTTCTTTAAAACTTTCTTGTCCTTTTTTATATTTTCTTTTAGGCTAATAAAAAAATACAAAAAAACTTTTGAAATAGAAGTTTTATGAAGTTTACAATACGGAAACAAAGAAGAAAATCCCCTAAAGTAATGGAGGAAGACAGTATTTTGGCAACAACAACATAAAAAAAAACTAAGTGAAAAATAAGTATGTGATAAAACATAATATAGATTAGAATTAAAAAACAGATCATGAAAAAGACAGACACATTGAATTTGAAAAGATGAGAGAGAGGGAGGGAGCAGAGAGGAGAGAGATCGAGAGAGAAGAAGAGGGAGAAGAGACCCGAGCCGTAGAGGAGATCAACACGGAGAGAGAGAGAGCTGAAGCCGGCGAGGGGGGGGTGTTACCATCTGGCCGTATCATGGAGCAGAGTGAGAGGCGACCGCGGTCTTGCCAATTGAAGAGCTGGAAGAGAGACCATGAGACCGACGAGGTGAGGATAGTAGATGAATGGTGTGGTGTGAACCACCGAGATCTGGACCCTTCGACCGAGGGGGAGGCGCATGGATAGAGTGTGGGTAGTGGTGCGAGAGAGTGTGGGGGGAAGCGAGAGGTGTGTCGTGTCGTGCCAGAGTGTGTGAAGACTCCGCCAACGAATAGAGAGATAGGAGACCAATAGACACTAGACTCGAGACTGTGCCGGACCCGTGGGAAAACTTGCCAGTATGAGGCGTGAGAGTGATGAGCGTGGATCGTGAAGTGGTTATGTGACGGGAGTGGAGTGCATGGGAGACCAGTCAGCGCACCTGAGATCTACGATCGCTTCTACTACCAGAGTAGAATGAAGAACGCGTAACATCATAGATATGCGTGTGGTGTCACTGAACTCCTGCTCGACAATGCACAGACGAGGGATCGGAGCAGAAAGATGATGTGTGTTGGAACAAGAATAGATAGTAAATATCAAAAGTATATAAAGACCCAGCAGATAGAGGAGATGAGAGAATGCATCAGATGTGTGTGTTGTGTTGTTGGAGAGAGAGAGAGAGAGAGAGAGAGAGATGTATGTGTAGCTGAATCTGAGCATGATGATGTGATTCGCATATGTGTGGTAGTGTTATCACAATGTGAGATGACAAGAGTAGAGTGCACGCTAGACGCACATGTACAAGACCAGAGAATGAGCTGCGCCAAGACGACGAGATGGACCTCACTCACTTAACAATCTACGTAAGCAGGAGACACCGACAAGAGAACAAAAGCAATGATGATCCGCACCATGACCTGACACAGACGAAGAAGCACAAGTTATCGACTCGAGTGGAGAGAGCCGAGACCGTTGACGATGAGGAGAGAATTCTTAGATATCTAAACCTTTGAGTGAGGTTCCAAGAGAGAGAGAGAGAAAGAACAAGAAGAGAAGAGAGAGGGAGAAGCATGGAACAAGAAAGAGAAATATCAAAAGTTAAAAAGACATCAGATAGAGGAAGAGAGAGAGAGAGAGTCAGACAGAAAGAGAGAGAGAGACAGACAGAAAGAGAGAGACACACAGAAAGAGAGAAAGAGACAGAGAGAAATAGAACAAGAAGCAGAGAAAGAAAGAAAGAGAAACAGAAAAAAAAGAGAGAAAGAAGAACCGAGAACCAGACCGAGACACCCTGGCCAAAACAAACAACAAAGGCATCTTTTCCTCCTCCCAAAGCTGTTTTGTTTCTCTCCTCCACTTCCTTTGTTTCCTCGGATGTTTGACGAGACAGACACCTTTGACGCCTCTCGATGATCGAAAGACGTCATGGAGTACAGGAGTCTGATGCAACAATTTCTCATGCAAAGGGGTGAGATTTTAAGGCCTTTTTTTTGTTTTGCAAGGCATATTTTTGTTGCATGTAAAAGGGTGAGATTTTAAGGCCTATTTTTTGTTGCGTATGGGGTGAGTTTTTTTTGGGTTTATTTTTGTTGCATGCAAAAGGGTGAGATTTTAGGGCCTATTTTTTGTTGCGTGTAGTGGGTGAGTTTTTTTTGGGTTTATTTTTGTTGCATGCAAAAGGGTGAGATTTTAGGGCCTATTTTTTGTTGCGTGTAGTGGGTGAGTTTTTTTTGGGTTTATTTTTGTTGCATGCAAAAGGGTGAGATTTTAAGGCCTATTTTTTGTTGCATGCAATGGGTGAGATTTTAAGGCCTATTTTTTGTTGCATGTAAAAGGGTGAGGTTTTTGGGTTTATTTTTGCTGCATTCAATGAGTGAGATTTTTAGGCCTATTTTTTGTTGCGCGTAGTGGGTGATTTTATTGGGTTTATTTTTGTTGCATGCAATGGGGTGAGATCTTAAGGCCTATTTTTTGTTGCATGCAAAAGGGTGAGGTTTTTGGGTTTATTTTTTGTTGCATGCAAAAGGGTGAGATTTTAAGGCCTATTTTTTGTTGTGTGTAGTGGGCGAGTTTTTGGGTTTATTTTTGCTGCATGCAATGGATGAGATTTTTAGGTTTATTCTTGTTGCATGCACTGGGTGATTTTAAAGGATTATTCTTGTTGCGTGCAATGGGTGGGATTTTAGGCCTATTCTTGTAGCATGCAATGGGTGAGATTTATAGGCCTATTCTTGTTGCAGTCATTGAGTGAGATCTTTAGGCCTATTTTTGTTGCATGCAATATGTGAGATTTTTTGGTCTATTTTTGTTGTTGGGCGAGATGATTTTAGGCCTATTTTCGGTGCATGCATCGGGTGAGATTTTTAGGCCTATTCTTGTTGCATGCAATGGGCGAGGTTTTTAAGCCTATTCCTGTTGTATGAAATTGGTTAGATTTTTTGGCCTTTTCTTGGCAATAGAAGAAAAATAATTTGCTCTTATATTTTAATCTCTAACGCCTAATTAACTTGTATGTTTGTGTTTTAGTTTTGTTTTATTTACTCAAATATGTTTATATACTATGTTTTGATGAATAAATTTTGCAAAGTAAAGATTTACTCATAATCGTGATTGCATGATTGTAAACACCTATGCCTTGGAACGGAATTCTCCTGGTCTTTCTCTCTCTCTCTCTCTCTGTCTGCTTGTCTGTCTGTATATATCTATCTATCTGTATCTGCCTGCCTGTCTATCTGGCTGCCTGTCTCTATCTCTCTGTCTGTCTATCAGTGTCTGCCTGTCTATCTGTCTGCCCGTCTCTCTCTTTCCTCCTCTCTCCCTCTTCCTTCCTTCTCCATTCCGCTCCTTTACCCCATTATCCGAACATCAGTTACCTCGCCTACGCTTCCGAATCCATTCCCCTCGTTTCCCCTCTCCGCCGTTTCTCCTCTCCCCCGTTTCCCCTCTTCCCTCCTTCCTCCCCTCGCTTCATTCTCCGGCGTCCTTTGCCTCATTTCACGGCAGGCGACGTCGGGAGGCTCGGCCGAAGGGGCTGCGAGCGGTTAAAATCCCGACAGGAAATTCAGGGGTAACAGCGTCCGGTGGCGGCGGAGGGGAGACGAGGGAGAGGTGAGGGGCGGAGACGAGGAGGAGGGGAAGGGTGAGGGGAGGAGCCGAGGGGAGGAGGGGAAGGGAGGGGAGGAGCCGAGGGAGCGAGGGAGGGGTGAGGGAGGAGCCGAGGGGAGCGAGGGAAGGTGAGGGTAGGAGCGAGGGGGGCGAGGGATGGAGAGGGAGTGAGGGGTGGAGCAGAATGGGGCCGGGAAGGGTGAGGGGAAGGGGAGGAGCCGAGTGGGGCGGGAAGGGGTGAGGGAAGGGAGGGCCGAGGGGGGAAAGGGGGAGCCAAGGGGCGGAAGAGGGGAGAGGGTACATGGCAAGAAGGGGAATGAGGGCTGAAGGGGACGGGAAGGAGGAGGGGAGGAGACCAGGGGGACGGGGAGAGGGGAAGGGGAAGGAGGGGAGGAGGAGGAGAGGAGGGAGGAAGAAGTGGAAGGAAAGGCGCTAGAAGGGAAGAACTGGCTAGGGAAGGGGGGGGGTAAAAGGGGAGCTGAGGGGTTGGGAGAAAAAGCCCAAGGATGGGACGAGGGGTATAGGAGGGGAGCCAAGAAAAGGGGGGGTATAGCCAAGTGGGGGGTCCGAGGAGGGAGGAAGGGGGTAGGTATAAGGCAGGTTGGGGAGGGAGCCGACGGGATTCAAAGAGGAGCCGACGGGGAGGAGCCAAAGAGGACGAGGGGGAGGAGGCAAAAGAGAGCGACGAGGGAGGAGCCAAGAGGAGCCGACGGGGAGGAGCCAAAAGGGGAGGAGAGGACGACGGGGGAGGAGAAGCCGACGGGAGCAAAGAGAGCCACGGGGAGGAGCCAAAGAGGAGCCGACGGGGGAGGAGCCAAAGAGGAGCCGACGGGGGAGGAGCCAAAGAGGAGCCGACGGAGGAGGCCAAAGAGGAGCCGACGGGGAGACCAAAGAGGAGCCGACGGGGAGGAGCCAAAGAGGAGCCGACGGGGAGAGCCAAAGAGGAGCCGACGGGGAGGAGCCAAGAGGAGCCGACGAGCCAAGAGGAGCCGACGGGGATCAAAGAGGAGCCGACGGGGGAGGAAATGAGGAGCCGATTAAAGAGGAGCCGACGGGGGAGGAACCAAGAGGAGCCGACGGGAGGACCAAGAGGAGGGCCGACGGGGACCAAAGAGGAAGCCGACGGGGGGAGCCAAAGAGGAGCCGACGGGAGGAGGAGCGACGGGGGAGCAAAGAGGAGCCGACGGGGAATTCAAAGAGGAGCCGACGGGGATTCAAAGAGAGCCGACGGGGGGAGGAGCAAAAGAGGAGCCGACGGGGAGGAACCAAGAGGAGCCGAGGAGGAACCAAGAGAGCCGACGGGGGAGAACCAAGAGGAGCCGAGGGAGGAAAGAGGAGCCGACGGAACCAAGAGCCGACGGGAGGAACCAAAGAGAGCGACGGGGGAGGAACCAAGAGGAGCCCGACGGGGCAAGAGGAGCCGACGGGGATTCAAAGAGGAGCCGACGGGGATTCAAAGAGGAGCCGACGGGGATTCAAAGAGGAGCCGACGGGGAGGAACCAAGAGGAGCCGACGGGGATTCAAAGAGGAGCCGACGACAAGAGGAGCCGACGGGGAGGAACCAAGAGGAGCCGACGGGGGAGGAACCAAAGAGGAGCCGACGGGGGAGGAACCAAGAGGAGCCGACGGGGGAGGAACCAAGAGGAGCCGACGGGGGAGGAACCAAGAGGAGCCGACGGGATTCAAAGAGGAGCCGACGGGGGATTCAAAGAGGAGCCGACGGGGAGGAGCCGACCAAAGAGGAGCCGACGGGGAGGAAGCCAAAGAGGAGCCGACGGGGAGGAACCAAGAGGAGCCGACGGGGGAGGAACCAAGAGAGCCGACGGGGAGGAACCAAGAGGAGACGAGGAAACCAAGAGGAGCCGACGGAGGAGGAAAGAGGAGCCGACGGGGGAGGAGGCAAAGAGGAGCCGACGGGGAGGAACCAAGAGGAGCCGACGGGGAGGAACCAAGAGGAGCCGACGGGGGAGAACCAAGAGGAGCCGGGGGGAGGAACCAAGAGGGGCCGACGGGGAGGAACAAGAGGAGCCGACGGGGGAGGAACCAAGAGGAGCCGACGGGGACAAAGAGGAGCGACGGAGGAACCAAGAGGAGCCGACCAAGAGGAGCCGACGGCCGACCAAAGAGGAGCCGACGGGAGGAACCAAGAGGAGCCGACGGGGATTCAAAGAGGAGCGACGGGATCAAAGAGGAGCCGACGGGGGAGGAGCCAAAAGAGGAGCCGACGGGGGGAGGAAAAGAGGAGCCGACGGGGAGGAACCAAGAGGAGCGACGGGGATTTCAAAGAGGAGCCGACGCGGGATTCAAAGAGGAGCCGACGGGGACGAGGAGCCGACAGGATTCAAAGAGGAGCCGACGGGGGAGGAGGAGCCGACCACCAAGAGGAGCCGACGGGGATTCAAAGAGGAGCCGAGGAAAGAGGAGCCGAGAGGAGCAAAGAGGAGCCGACGGGGAGGAACCAAGAGAGCCGACGGGGGAGGAACCAAGAGGAGCCGACGGGGATTCAAGAGGAGCCGACGGGGATTAAAGGGAGCCGACGGACCAAAGAGGAGCCGACCGGATTCAAAGAGGAGCCGACGCAGGAGCCGACTAGGAGCCGACGGGGATTCAAAGAGGAGCCGACGGGGATTCGAGGATCCGACGGGGGAGGGAGGAGCCGACCAAGAGGAGCCCAAGAGAGCCCCAAAGAGGACGACGGGAGGAGCCGACGAGGATTCAAAGAGGAGCCGACGGGGAGGAACCAAGAGGAGCCGACGGGGATTCAAAGAGGAGCCGACGGGGGAGGAGCCAAAGAGGAGCCGACGGGGGAGGAACCAAGAGGAGCCGACGAGGGATGAGCCAAAGAGGAGCCGGGGGGAAGAACCGAAGGGTGGAGGAGCCGAGGAGGAGGAGGAGGAGGAGGAGCCAAAAGGTGAGGTGAGGGGTGGGATCAGAAGACCCCGCCACCAAGGGATCTCCCCAACCTCTTCCGACCGAGGGACCGTGATTTCTCAGTCGCAAAAAGGGCCTCCGATACGTGAAAGCCGCGTTAGAACTGTCTCGTCTATTAAATCCTGAATCGCCCGAGTCATCAGTTACAAAATGGAAAAGGAATTATAGTACTACTACTTCTACTATAAATAATGATACACTATATAAAGGAATCTCCATCTGGCTATCTTTCTTTGGGGGGAGAAGGTGGAGGAGGAAGAAGAAGAAGAAGAAGAAGAAGAAGAGAAGAAGAAGAAGAAGAAGTAGAAGAAGAAGAAGAAGAAGAAGAAGAAGAAGAAGAAGAAAAAGATGAAGACGACGACGAAGACAAAGAAGACGAAGACGAAGAATAAGAATAAGAATAAAAAGAAGAAAAGAAGAAAAGAGGAGGATGAAGGAGTAGGAGGATGAGGAGGAGGAGGAGGTGAGAAAGAAATAATGCGAGCAACGTTTATTCATCTTTCGCTCTACAAATGATACTGAAATGCGATCCCTCGTTCAGAACGCCGGTGATCAGCGTGAACGAATGAATAAGCCTGTACTATCCCGAGAACATGGGCGTGTTCAAAATGTAGCCACGCCCCTATATCATAATCCACACGCCCCTATATTGTAGTCCTTAAGAATCATTGGAGACTTTATTATTTTTTCCCATAGAGTTCATATTTGAGCAGATGAATTTGATGGTTTTGAGCTCTACATAAATGTCTAAATGGAAGTTGAAATAATGAAAACCAGTAAAAACTAGTAATCTATATGAACATTTTTTTTTAGAAAATGGTCTATATGATTTTTTTTTTTTTTTTTTGAAAATTTTTTTTTAGAAAATGGAAATCAGTAAAAGCACATACTCTATCTGAATCATTTTTCCTGTATGATATGGGAATAAATTGACCAACAGAAAAATCACTCCTTTTTATACATAAATGGACTAAATGCAAGCTGTTTCGGCAACCTGAAACTCGCCAAAATGTGCCCTTGCTGAGCTTCATTTAAGGACATTTTCATCGGTCACTGAGATCAATATTTCGGTACCGTTAAAATATTCCTAAAATTATCATTATTATTATTATTATTATTATTATTATTGTTATTGTTCTTTTTTGTCAGTTGCTTCAAAGTATATGGACTTACTAGTGCATCCTCTAAATAAAAATTTATATAATTTCCCTTCACTATTTAAGTACAACACTCCCACTCCCTCATGACACATTCATCCACACACACACACAAATATTCACCCCTCAACACACACACACAAACATTCACCCCTCACACACACACACAAATACCCCTCAACACACACACACACAAATATTCACCCTCAACACACACACACACAAATATTCACCCCTCAACACACACACACACAAATATTCACCCCTCAACACACACACACACAAATATTCACCCTCAACACACACACACACACACAATATTCACCCTCAACACACACACACACACAAATATTCACCCCTCAACACACACACACAAATATTCACCCTCAACACAACACAACACAAATTCACCCCTATATCACCCTCACACACACACACACAAATATTCACCCCTCAACAACACACACACACAAATATTCACCCCTATTTCAACACACACACACACACAAATATTCACCCTCAACACACACACACACAATATTCACCCCTCAACACACACACACACAAATATTCACCCCTCAACAGACACACACACAAACATTCACCCCTCATACACACACACACACACAAATATTCACCCCTCAACACACACACACACAAATATTCACCCCTCAACACACACACACACAAACATTTCACCCCTCAACACACACACACACACAATTCACCCCTCAACACACACACACACAAATATTCACCCCTCAACACACACACACACAAATATTCACCCTCACACACACACACACAATATCACCCTCAACAGACACACACACACATTCACCCTCAACACACACACACACACAATATTCACCCCTCAACACACACACACACACAATATTCACCCCTCAACACACACACACAAATATTCACAACAGACACACACACAAACATTCACTCCTCAACACACACACACACACACACAAATATTCACAACACACACACACACACACAAATATTCACTCCTCAACACACACACACACACAAATATTCACTCCTCAACACACACACACACACAAATATTCACTCCTCAACACACACACACACACAAATATTCACTCCTCACACACACACACACACAAATATTCACCCTCAACACACACACACACACACAAATATTCATCACACACACACACACACACAAATATTCACTCCTCACACACACACACACACACACAAATATTCACTCCTCAACACACACACACACACAAATATTCACCCCTCAACACACACACACACACACACAAATATTCATCCTCACACACAAATATTCACCCCTCAACACACACACACACACAAATATTCACCCCTCAACACACACACACACACACAAATATTCACCCCTCAACACACACACACACAAATATTCACCCCTCAACACACACACACACACACAAATATTCACCCCTCAACAACACACACACACACAAATATTCACCCCTCAACACACACACACACACCCTCAAACACACACACACACACAAATATTCACCCCTCACACACACACACACACACAAATATTCACAAACACACACACACAACACACACAAACACAACACACCACACACACACCCCTCAACACACACACACACAAATATTCACCCCTCACACACACACACACACACACACAAACATTCACCCTCAAACACACACACACACAAATATTCACCCCTCAACACACACACACCACACACACACACACACACAAATATTCAAACACACCACACACACACCCCTCAACACACACACACACAAATATTCACCCCTCAACACACACACACACACAAATATTCACCCCTCAACACCACACCACACACACACAAACATTCACCCCTCAACACACACACACACAAATATTCAACCCTCAACACACACACACACACACACACACACACAAACATTCACCCCTCAACACACACACACACACAAATATTCACCCCTCAACACACACACACACAAACATTCACAACACACACACAAACATTCACCCCCTCAACACACACACACACAACATTCACCCCTCAACACACACACACACACACAAACATTCACCCCTCAACACACACACACACAAACATTCACCCCTCACACACACACACACACAAACATTCACCCCTCAACACACACACACACACAAACATTCACCCCTCAACACACACACACACACACACAAACATTCACCCCTCAACACACACACACACACACAAACATTCACCCTCAACACACACACACACACAAACATTCACCCTCAACACACACACGCAAACATTCACCCTCAACACACACACACAAACATTCACCCCTCAACACACACACACACACACACAAATATTCACCCCTCAACACACACACACACACAACATTCACCCCTCACCACACACACACACACACAAACATTCACCCCTTAACACACACACACACAAATATTCACCCCTCAACACACACACTCACACAAACATTCACCCTTCAACACACACACACACAAACATTCACCCCTCAACACACACACACACACACCAAACATTCACCCTCAACACACACACACACACCACAAACATTCACCCCTCAACACACACACACAAACATTCACCCCTCACCCCTCAACACACACACACACACAACACATTCACCCCTCAACACACACACACCACACAAACATTCACCCGTCAACACACACACACAAACATTCACCCTCAACACACACACACACAAACATTCACCCCTCAACACACACACACACAAACATTCACCCTCAACACAACACACACACACACAACATTCATCCCTCAACACACACACACACACAAACATTCACCCCTCAACACACACACACACACAAACATTCACCCCTCACACACACACACACACAACATTCACCCCTCAACACACACACACACACAAACATTCACCCCTCAACACACACACACACAAATATTCACCCCTCAACACACACACACACATTCACCCTCACACACACACACACAACATTCACCCCTCAACACACACCACACACAAACATTCACCCCTCAACACACACACACACACAAACACATATCAACACACACACACACAAACATTCACCCCTCAACACACACACACACACACGCACACACACACACACACACACACACACACACACACACACACACATACACCCATCAACAACACACACACATACACACACACACACACACACACACACACACACACACACACACACACACACACACCCTGACAATGCCTCCTGCCAAACCACAATAAACCCACATGGAAGCCGACTCATCCACACGCACATAAATCAACGCAAAAGGCCTATTAAGGTTACATTCCACTATAGACGGTTTACCCCCGCCCCCCCTCTAAAAAAAAAGAAGAAAGTAAG